CAGCAATCTAGCCAGTAAACTACCTTGGGCAAATCCCACATTACAATCAATATCAATATTCACAAAGTTGCTATCACCTTAAACAAGAACAAATTAAAATGAATTTTCAAACCAACCAAAGCATGCCTACTTAAAATAATCTTCTCCGAGACTTCCTCAAGGGTGCAATTAACCTTTTGCTCAGGAATATAACAGATTTCTACTTAGATAATATAAAAGCAAAAGTTCAACATTAGCTAAACTAATCTTCAAGATACATAGTAGCCTAAGAATGAAAACAACACTCAACCCCAAAGCCTATTTATGTTACCCGAGCGACGAAAACAACCCCAACAAGACAGGACTATCTCCTCCTCTAGCTCATCACAAATGAAAAATACTTATTGTAGATGCACAACTAAGTAACTCAGTGAACTTCTCTTTTTTTTTAAAATGCAAAAAAAAAAAACAATTAAGCTACCTTCCAGACCACAAGAATGCAAATATAAACAAATTCAACATATCAGCATGAATTAACAATAGATCATTTCACAGATTCAAGCAATGAACAACAAAATAATATAAGGATAAGATTAATACCAGAAAATTTTTAACAAAAAAAGAGACCAAATACACTAAGGTAAAACTAAAAACACTCATTAATGAAAAATGGGATGTGAGTAAAAAACACTCATTTCATCCCTTAGCCGCGAATATGACAAACATTTTATTTTCATTCTTTTTTTCTTGGGAACCAAACAAAAAAAGTAAATAAATTGAAGGGAAACCACACACCCCCAAAATAAAAAAGGAAGAGAAATAAACCATGAACGTTATTGGGAAGGTGATGAAGTGTGTGCGACATGAGTTAAGGTGGAGCTTCAAAACAAAACGTTGTTGTGGTGGTTTTGCATTCTCTTTCGCAGGGTTTCCGTGTTCTTTGTTTGATAAGGGAGTCTGTAATATCCCAAACACCAGGTTAGTGACCAAATTGTAAAACTTCAGAATTTATTGGCTAAAGTAGATAAATTGAATGGTTTAAGGATTTATAATGAAAATTTTGCGTAGGACTAAATAGCAAAGAAGGATAAATGGAAGGAAAAATGGTCATTTGACCTAGAAATAAATTAAAAATGGGATATGGTAAGGATATATATACACGTGGAGATATGCAGAAATGAAAGATTTCTACAGAAAATTCTCTCTTCTTCTTTCAGGCTTGAGCTACCATAGCAAAGGTGAGTTTTCTTGTGGGTTGATTATTCATTGAATTCAAGTTTGGTTATGATCCTTAGATGATACTTAAGCTTAAGAAAAGCTTAAGTTATCTTAAAACTATAAGATGGAAGAATTAAGGGAATTAAAGATAAGGAATTTCTAAATGAAATCTTGGAAAAGAGTTGATAAGTAGAATTTGGAAGTAAATTTGACTTGTCATCAACTAAATTAAGAAGTATGAAGTGTTAGAATTGAAATTAGAACATGTTGGAAAATTGGTAGAATTCTTGATTTCAAGATATAGGATGAAATTCTGAAGATAATGATGGTTTATATGGATATAAGTTGATTGGAGTAAGGGTAGTTGAGTTTAATGGCATGATAGGGGCTTAAAATGGAAGGTTTAGATTAGTATTAGTGAATTTCGGGTTTAAAAATGATTTCTGGGCTGTGAGTATCGGTACTACTTAATCAAGTACCGATACTTCAAGAGTAAAATAGTGAATTTTGGTTTAGGGTATCGATACTGGTCGAACAATATCGATACCATAAGCTTGAATTTGACAAAGACATTCATGGGGTATCGATACCAAGGGTACCGATACCATAAGGTTAATATCGGTACCAATTTTTGAAACAAGTATTTCGAATGCAAAATGGGTATCGATACATGGGCTTGGTATTGATACCACAACTAATGAAGTATCGATACCCTATAGGGGGTACCGATACTACTTCAAGTAGAAAGTGAAATTAAGCCTTTCTTTTGGTCTAAGAAATTAAGAATCGAATCATGATAATTGGAATGCTAATATGTATATAATATGTATGATTATAGATATCAAACACAAGCAAGTTCCGGAACAACCGCAGAGTTAGGATTGTGAGGCTAAGGTGAGTGCATACTATAGGTATAGTTCAATGGAAATAAGACTTGTGATAAGTCTATTTCCTATGTTAGTTTTCATGGTCCAATAGTTATGAACATGCATATATTATGGTCATTATAAAAGCATGCATAAGTTATATATGTTTATATGATTTGATACATGCTATATGATTTATGTAAACATACTCAAATAGCATATGTTATATGATATGAGATTGATGGTTATATGTACATGTGATATGTGACAGAAGGGAAGACATATGTGATTATAAGAGAAATGACATGAGTACATGAACATATGAAGCATAATAATAATGCCCATGTTATATGATATGAGAGCTATAGGTATAGTTGGCATACCAAGAGTCGAGGGTTACATAGGTCCTTCGGGACATATACATGAAGTCCTTCGAGACAAATTTCACATGCCCCTAGTGGGACCCTATACGAGCTATGTTGACAGTATATGCGCACAACTTCAATGTACTCGCATATCTTAAGTTCTCAGTAATGTACATGGGCCTATAAAAGATATCAAAAGTGTTTGCATTATTATATGTTATTATGTTATTTTTGTTTTGTAACATCCTCAATATCGGGTTAGTGATCAAAGTGTGAAATTAAAAAAATCAATGACCAGATTAGATAAATTGAAAAGTGAAGGAATTAATTGAAAGATGTTAGTCTAGGATGAATTAATAAATAAAGGAATAGTAAAAGGGTAAATGGGTCATTAAACATGGGGTATTGATTAAATAATTAAATAATTATGGTGGGTGTTTTATAAACCCACGTGAATCATAATTGGGGGAGGAGAGTTTCCAGATTCTCATCTTCATCTTCTTCTCTTCTCCAACGTGAAGCCCCAAGCCAAGGTGAATTTGATTTCTTTTGGTTAATTCTTAAAATTTAATTACTGTTTTGGTTAAGGAAGACTTAGGAAACACGATGGAGATGAAAAAGGCCATAGAAACTCAAAGATTTGTAAGTTATGAAGAATTAAAGATAAGAAGAGGATAAGTGAAATTTTGAATAAAGATGTATAAATGAATTTAGAAGTTAAATTTGACTTGTCATAGGTGTGAGTAAGAAGTATAAGTGTTAGAAATAAGTTTGGATTACATGGAAAATTTAGTATGATTATTGAATTCCATGTAGAGGATTGTAATTTGAAGTTAGATAAGTGTTGAAGGAGTATTAATTGTTTTAAGTAGGTGTATGTAAGTTAAGGATATGAATGAGGTTGAAATATGGAATAATTGAGCTAAAAGGAAGTGATTTTCGTGCTCAAAATATAATTCTAGGCTAAAGTGTATCGGTACACATTCGATATGTATCGATACATCAAAGGGAAATTTCCAAAAAATTATTCAGTGTATCGATGCACAGGAAGTGTATCGCTGCACCCCTTAAAATGAAAACATCGAATGTTAATATGAAAATGAAACATGTGTCTCTATGAGTATGGGGAAGTAAGTGATGTGCTTACATGATTACAAGATAGGAAATAAGACATGAGATATATGAAGAAAAAGTATATGTGAATATTTGTGAACAAAATATGACATAAGTAGTTACATGAACATCTGTGAAATAATAAAAACTATGACACTACAACAAATTTAGCAATTTATGACAAAATTTCTATATGACATTTTGTATAATGTCACAAAATATACTTTAAAGGTGACGATTTTTAATTTTGGTCGCATTTAATGATTAATGATATATCATTTATGACAATTTTAAAAAAGTCATTGATTTCCGTCACTATATGTTTGGAGCCAAAATTTGCCTCCAAAAAAATTTGGTGGGAAATATTTCAATGATGTTTAGGTAAAATGGTGACGTTGTAAAATCGTCTCCAAAGGAATAAAAGTATTAGTGACGATTTATTATTATGACGATTCGATATGAAATAGTGGTGTTAGAAATTTGTCACCAATAAACTTTATCTGTGACAATTTATTTGTCATCTTTTATAAGATATAAAAGGTGACATTTTATTTTTGTCATAAAATAAGTTTAACATGACAAAAATAATTATTTGTCACTCATTGCATATCTCTTGTTTTTTATATGACGATTAAAAAATATATATAATATTAAAACTTTATTAAAAATTACTCTTGTGAGGTGAATTGTTGTGTTATGATGTCATAGATTCTTCTCGAAAGAACTGTTATATAGTGGCGTAGATCTCCATGGAGAAGAAGTGTTGTACATATATCTCCCGTTCGAAAACCTATGCTACATAGTTTTATATATTTTTAAATATTTGAATAATTTTAAAAATAAGAACATAATATTTCATAATTTTTATTATGTTTTATAATTTATAACAATAATTAAAATTTCTTTCTATTTTTAAAATATTTTTAAAATTTTTAAATATTATAATAATATTTAATTTTTCATTTTTTAAATAAATTTCAAATTTTGAAAAAAAATAGCTTAATTGGGCTTAAAATAATAATAATTCAATCAAAATTGGGGTTAGATGAACGGTCATAATAATTTAGGACTTAATTGAATTTTATAATAAAATATTAAGGTTGTGATAAATATGAAATTCAAAGACTAAAATATAAAAAATAAAAAGTTGAAATTCTAAAAAGTTAAACCTAAATTGTTTAATGGCATACGTTGCAGTTTACTCATATTTATTTAGGATTAATGTTCTCTGTAATTGTTCAATTTCTCTGAAATTGCTAAAGGTAAAATCATATTTTATTATTGGAAATAAAATAAAATAAAATATATCTAACCCTAACCAACCCTTTATGTAGAAAAGGAATAAACCAAATTCTAAACTTCATCATCCTTTCGGTCTTCGCCGTTTGCGCCATCACCGGTGAACCATGCCTCCGTTCACGAGTCAAGCACTCCTTGTTCAATCGTGAACACCATAACATTGTGATCAGTGCCTATCCTCGTGTCATTCAATCATCTTATTTGAAGTCCCCGCCGGTGAGCTCTGATATTCCGTCCGTATGGTTTCTTATTGTAAGTTTTTGTCTTGTATTCTGGTATTACTTAATTGATATGATATTTTTTTCTTATGGAAAAACTGTTTACAATGGTTCATCAATGGACAAATCGTTGTGGAATCTGAATAACTACGCCTTCACTTATCCAAATGAGAAACTTGGGAATCAAGATGGTCAAAAAGACATTGCGGGGATAGCAACAATGTTGTGGACAATTGTGTCTAGAATTGTTGCAATGCTTTGTTTTTTCTTTTACACTTATGATACTGATTTTATCATTTGGTGTTTCTATTTGAACAAGTGATGTATCGTCATAAAAAAACATTAGCATTAGGGAAAATCTAAGTGATCATGTCTGAACAAGCTTCTTGTCTGATGTTGGTTTCTTTGAATGGGTAATACTTAATAGGTATTGTTTAATACTGTTTAATATTGTATTGTTTAAGTGATCATAACATGGAATTGAATCATCACGTTATTGGGGGACATGTGTCTTTTAAGGACATATGTTCATATATATATATATAATCATACAATTAACTGGTTTTTTATTTTTTTCTAGAAAAGGTTTACTAATTGTTACACAGTATCTTACAGTTGTCAATGTTGCTCTAGGATGGGGTCGTAATTGATATCCATGAAACCAAAGATTTCTTGGTAAAAGCATCGGATGTCCTACGGTAGATCCTCATTGTTGGAGTTGGAGGAGAAGAATTCAAAGAAATGGAGGTATTTATTATTGAAAGCCTTTTATATCCATTTAAGGGAGAATGGTTACTTCATAAATTATCTTTTTGTTGGCGGGTACTTGAGTCAATTGATTTATCAAGTTAATCTTTTTTACAGATTTTAGATGCTGACAAGGGGGAAAGACTTGAAAGCTTAACCGGAGAAGTTACTTCACTCCATATTGTTCAATTGTTCCATTTAGATATATACAAGGTAAGCCATCTACTGGTTTCAATTGTACCATGTTAACATGGATTAAAATGCTTTGTAGTTGGGATATAACAATCGTTTTTCATTGCATGTGATGAAAACGTGATTATTCCATTCAATGTAGTAAATGGCACCACATAATTTACAATTAAAAAAATAACTTTAGTTTTATATTGATATAAGTGGGGGTTTATTATAACATGACATTATTGGGGTTTAGGGCTTCTCTGCTCTATCAAAAATTTGCTTCTCACTTTGTTTTGGGTTTTTTGCTGTAGTCATCTTGATAAACTTCATTAAGGATATGGTGAGTATGAAATGTGGATACATCATTCCCATGGAAATGGCAATACCTTTCTACATTGGCCCATACTTTGCTATTGATATGTGCACAAGAAGTTTGATCTTATTCGTCTGGGAAAAGTTAAACAAGGAAAACACAGATGCATTTGACCTAGAAGTCTCCTCATATCTTATCTACTGGGACGGTATATGCTAGTTTTCGAGTTCAATACTTGCTCTTGCCGAGTATTTCTTCAAGTAAACTTGTTATTGGTGCTACGAATGAAGTAAATTCATCTTCCATGGTTCCAATATTTGCAAATCCGTTCTGGAAGGAAATTGTGGTATTGTCAAACCGATCCATCTTGAATTCGAGATGATGTTGGAATTGTTTGATATTCGTTTGGAAGCAGTTCTAGTGATAGAGTTTGTTCGAGAAATTCCTCTCAAGTCGTAATTTATTAGAAGTTTTTTCTTTGATTGTAATTTATAAAAACAATTGGAATTTGTTGTAATTTATAAAAACAATTGGAATTTGTTGTAATTTATAAAAACAATTGTAATTAGTTGTAATTTTTAATTTTTTTGGCATTTGTTGTAATTTATAAAAAGTTTTGGTATTTTTTTGTAATTTATAAAAAGTTTGGCATTTGTTTGTAATTTATAAAAGTTTTGGTCTTTATTGTAATATATCAAAATATTATTTTTATTTTTATTTATATAAAATTTTAGACTTTTATTGTAATTTTAAGTTTTTATTTTTTAATTTTTTTAAAATTTAAACAAAGAATTACAACGATCTTTTCTTCGTCGTTTATACAGTAAAAATTTAATATTATAGTGACAATATGAATGATTAATGATAAAATTTTATTTCATTTAGTGACGTAATTAGTTGTCACTGAATACAAATTATAAGGTGACGTTATACAAAAACGTCATTAAATGTTTAACAATAAGTGACGATAAAAAGATACATCGTCACGCTAGACATTTAGTGACACACCTAGGGTGACGAACGCCATGACGTCGAATTTTATGTCACAAAATACAAATAGTGACGTAAATGTAAGTCTCAATGACAATATTTTCAACGTCAAAAATTAACAAATTTTTTGTAGTGTGAGACATGATTTACACGATTTCCTGAATATATGAAACATGTTATATGATATGAGAGCTATAGGTATAGTTGGCATGCCAAGAGTCGAGGATTACCTATGTCTTTTGGGACATATGGACAAGATTACCTATGTCTTTCGGGACATATGGACATGATTACTTATGTCTTTCGGGACATATGGACAGGATTACCTATGTATTTCGGGATATATGGACAAGATTACCTATGTATTTCGGGACATATGGACAGTTACCTATGTTCTTAGGAACATATTGATAGGTCCTTTGGACACAGATTTCATATGTCACTTAGAGGAAATTTATACGAGCTATGGTGATAGCATAGTACACAACCTCACAGTACTCACATACCTCAGGTTATCAGTATTGTATCATGGGCTATTAAACTTATTATATGAATTCATTATGGTTAATTTTATCAGATTATGGGTAAGATATATGGTTATGCAATTTGCATAGATTGAATATATGATTTCATGATATTGCATTTCATTATGACATTTTCATTATATTTCATTGGCATTATCATTATGCCTCACTAAGTCTATGACTTAACGTGTAAGTGTTTTACACGTAGGTACCGAAAAGCAGAGAGATCCATTATAAGCTCAACAGAACAATATATCTCCACTTGAAGGTCAGATCAGAAGTAGATTAAATAATAGGTATTATTATGTGATAAATAGGTTGGCATGTAAACAAAGTCTTTAAATTAAGTATGTGTGCTCTGATCAAGTTTTGGAATGTTTTAAACGTATATATGTAAATAGTAAATGTATAGTGATGAACGTTTTAAATTTGTATGAGTTTTATATGTTTTGCCGAAAAATACTGTAGCAGGGTATCGATACCCCTGCAACAATCTGGAAAAATTTTAGCATTCGATATTGTTCACATTATTGTTCATCAATGTTCACGGGACTGTTCATACCGTATAGTACTATTCATAAAAACGTATATTTTTTTAATAAATTGTTATAACGAACAAAATTCAACAATATATTATCATATTTTCTTAATATAAGTCCAATTGATCTGTATTTTGTTAAGAATATTGTTTTAAAAAGTCAATGTAACATCTCATACTCGTATCCGGGTCAGGTACTGGTTGGGGTGTTACATGTTTACACCGAATCATATGTGACATGATTGGATAATGATATGATAATTATGATTGGATTTGAATAATTAGATTGCATGTTCATATTTATAGGAAATGCATTATTATATTTTTATGCCTAACTAAGTATATGACTTAGCGTGTAAGAGTTTTACACGTAGGTACTGAAAAGCAGGAGAATATGATATAGGTTCAACAAAATAACATATCTCCACTCGAAGATCAGATCAGAAGTAAAGTATACAGTATATATTTTGTTGTATCAAAGGTGTTGGCATGTAGACAAATTATCACTTATATATGTTCTGATCGGTTTTTGTAATATGTTGAGTATACTCATGTAAATTATTAACTTTATTTTAATGAAAGTTTGAATTTTCATGATTTTATAAGTTTTGAATAGTCAATGTGACACCTTAAATTCATATTTGAGTCGGGTACGGGTTGGGAGTGTTACAGAGTCCATTGGTAATATGTCAATTTGCTTATAGGCAATTCCGGGTTACCGAAATAAGAGGCATGCCGGCCATATCAAATCCGGAACAACCCATTTTGTGAAGGGAAAACATATGGATTTCATGGTTCTGCATCTTCTATTGCTGCGAGGTTCTGCATATTCTATTGTAGAGATAGAAAGTATAGGGTCGGTACCTGCCACTCACATGGGTCAATATACTTTATGTCCCTTGCCATGCAAACCCTAATCCGATAACAGGTTAAATGGTTATCATTAGTTACTGTGTAAAACATGCTGACATATCTTTATCATTACATTATTGTTGTCATCCTCGGTGAAAGAAACATACGCTTTTTAATATGTATTATGTTATTCAAGATATTATTTTTGGCTAATCAGATCATGCAAGCAAGTTGGTGCAGATTTGTTACTTTTGGCCAATTCTTGTTCACAAATTGGTGAAGTTTCTTCGTACTTCTTGAGCTTTCACTTTCTAGATTTTTTTCCCCTTTTGCTCTCACAATCTGCATCGTGTCTGGGTAAAAAAAGATATGAAAACTGGAAAGGTTTGTATCTGAAAATGGGAGAGATCAATTTCTATCTTTGAAAATCTTGGGCGGTTTGCTGAGGTCAGGGAGATGTTATAATTGTATCGATGCCAGGTTCTGCATCTTCTATTGCTGCGAAGCTCGGATAAGGTTTGTTGCATGGCTTGCTGGTGTGGATCGTAGACTGACGAAGATGACGCTTTGGCTAGCAGTGATGAGGGTATTGTTTCACAAGTCGAAACTTGAGGCCGAGGATCACTTGGGACAGTGGTGGGCATCAGATAAGAATTCGGACTACCACCAGTGGACCGTGACCTTAATGAAGATGAAGAAGAAGAAGGCTTGTTGAGGTCGGTGGGTTGATAATAATTAAATTAAAAAAATTGTAAATTTTAGTGGCTAAAATAAGAGTGAGAATGTAGTTGAATGATGTAATTTACTTAAAAAAATAAAAACATGTTTTTTTAAGTGCCTCGTGTTAGTTTATATAGGTCAGAGGGTTTCACGTCATATTCTATGACAGAAATGGGTATACCCATTAACGGCAGAAAATATTACATAGTTAATCGAAAATTTTTAAATTTTATGTATGAAACTGAGAATTGAGTATAGTTCATTTATGAATGGGATAATTAACCCTTCATTTTATGATCCAAATACATATAAGCAACTTTTTGAACCACGAAGTTAAATTTAGGTATCAATTTGAACCTAAAAGCCAAGTTCATATACTTAATTGGAATAAAAAGTTTAAGTGCCAAGTTCAACCATAAAACCAAGATCAAGTACTTAAGTGGACCAAGAAAAAGTCTAGGTACTAAATTGTGACTTAAAACTAAGATCAGGCCGAAATATATATTTACCCAAAAATATACGCTACAGCCCTAATTACAATTGTCCAGAGGAATTAACAAAGCGTCGGCCTGAAAACCTCTCCGCTACAACTTTCAATTCCCAATTTATCACAAAACCCTAAACCCTTCCTCCTCCGGTCCTTCTCACTCTACCAATGGCGGAGCTAAAACTATCCTAGAGTAGAGACTTGACCCGAATCGAACGAATAGGTGCCCACTCCCACATCCGTGGCCTGGGTTTTGACTCTTCTCTGGAGCCCCGTGACGTTTCCGAAGGCATGGCCGGTCAAACCCTAGCTCGTAAAGCAGCCAGCGTCATCCTCCAAATGATCAAACACAGTGAAATCTTTCAGAAAAGAAGGTATTACACTTCACGAAATTGATGTCATTAATAGCAGGTAAATTTGAGTTTGGCTACAAATAACTTCATTTTCTTTCCAAATTTCTGTTGTAATTGATATATGCAGTGCGTGTTTAACAGTCTATCGTTAATTGTTTTGAATTTACCTAAAAGCTGAGCCATTATGGACTGCTAGTAATTTAGACTTATTTTGTTTCTTCCACTTGCTACTGACATTTTACTTCTGAAA